GCGCAAATGCGCTTATGAATTATAAAAATGAGTAAGACTGCTAAAGCGCAAATGAAATATTTAGGTCCGCAATTAGCGGATTTGCACTTTAGCAGACTGGTGCCCACCACTGTCTTATAGTATCTGCACCTTTTTTCTTTTATCATCCTGCATGTTTCCTTCTGTTATGTGCAAACTTATGGTGTTGCCTCTGTATCTGTGTTCTCTCTATCTTAGTTTGTGTTTCCGTCATTCTTTAATATTAGCATTCATGCTAACCGTGCTTCATGCTCCAGTTCTCTGCAAATTTGTTGCTCGTTTTCGTCAAGATCCTCATCATCTTCCTCCATAGCTCCAGAATTCACAGACAACAYTTCTCTGAAAARACATTGCCATTTTTKTCCCAGAAGTTTCACAACAAAATGAAAATTTTAGTTTTTTGGACACGAAGCCACCCACTTCCTTCGGTGGAAGKAACCWGTCAAAATAAAAGCTGTAACATGCAGCCTTTTAGTGCAATGACTTATAGTTAAGTGGTTTAGATAAATAACATGTTGATTTAATTTGCCTCCTACATCGCAGGACCTGCAGTGTGACTAATGTACACATACATCGTGATGACGATGCTCAAATGATATATCATGTGGCTCTAGTACGAAAAGTTTTGCATGTGTGTTTTCTGGGTCTGGATAACAGTTAAAAAAYTGTTTGGTAAAAAGTGTTACCAGATTTTATTCCCTGTTTATTTTCTAAAAGATAAAAATCAGAGTTTGGATAATGTTGCTTTGTTGTCACTCACCTCCAAAGGTGTAAAGGTGATATTGTTTAACTGTCTGTTAGAAAAAAAACTTATAAGCACCTTGATGGATTTTAATGGACCTTTTAGAAAATAGTTATTGGATGGAGTCAATCCACATCAAGATGGCAGCAAAAAAAATTGCTTTAAAATCAACTAAAAACGTGTGGAAAGGAACGGAACATTAAACTGTCTGTTGTGTAGGAAACCAGACTGAAAACAGGTGTTCGTATGCATCCTTTCATGGACAGTTTTGTTCAAATTTGTTTTCATCCACCTGCTTTTTAAAAGATCTGTGTTTAATAATGGTAACTATTTTATATCTGTCCCATTAGACCAAGCTTTGAGTATAATAGATTTAACAGGAACAGCCTATTTTAGTTGATTCGGCCTTTTATAAATGTCACCCAAAAACACATTTACTCATCATTCATGACAATGAACCAAAAATCTACTTACAGCTTTTCAACTCAATAATGTATATTTTTAGACTTTAGGTTTTTTGTTTGGTGTGAAGCCTTCTAAGCAGAGTCCCAGAATATGATCATTCATCTGTATTTTCTTTTTGTTGAATATTTTATTGTACCTTTATAAATGGATGAAAGACAAAGACATATTAATGTTTTTTTTTCTGCAGCTGTACAAGGTGGRCAATCATTTGTGGTTACATTTATTAAATGTTGATTAGTAATGGGCCATGTGACAGAAATCCTATGTTTTATTTTATTGTTTAAAAGGTTTCCTGTCACGATCATAGCGTAATAAATAAAGCTGAGGCATGTGCGTTTTTTAATAGACTTTTAGTTGAAGTAAATAAAGGTTTTCAGGAGGGAAAAAAGGAGAAATGTTGGCATTACTTTGGTCAAATCATGTGGATGTGTGATATTTTCTTGTTAGCTGGTGAGAAAAAATGYCACTGTAGTGAAGTGCGATAATAGTCATAAAAAAGAGTTTTCCTCAGGCTTTCTATTGGTGGCAGACATGGCCTCATCACTTGTATGGACTTCATTCTGTGACAGTTTAAACAGAAACCTCGCACATTATGACCTTTTGTTCTGTAAAAYAGCACTTCTGCTCCTGCTTCTTTTTAAGGTTTGTTACAGTTACACAAGCTCAAAAGGTCACACACAAAAAAAAACCTCTTCTTTTAGAAATGTTCAGCGATTAATATGTTTCAACAGACAAGTTATTTAATCCAAACCAAAGTACCTGGTGGCTTCTTAAATCTGAAGCTGTTGGAGAATCGAAGCAACAAAAAAGGTAGTTTATTCAACAAAAAAATCTTTATAAATCCAAATCTATACAGGCCAGGCCAGCTGGAGAGAAAAGCAATCAGACTGACAAAGAGAGAGACCATCTATGGTAAACAAAGCTAACAAGTCACAGGTGGAAACAGTTGAAGTCAATTAAAGGCAGGACAGGGACAGTAAAAKGAGGATTTGGATTGGCCAACAACAAGTCCAGATTTTAACCCCTTAAAAAATTTATGACATACCAGAGATTATTTTATTGGTGTAATAATATTCATAAAAAACACCATAACATAAAATTTCATGCAACTTAGACTTGGAAAAACTGTTGTGTGCATTACATAAATAATAAATGTGATGTAATCAAAGCTTTTATGAAAGCTTGGGATGTTATTAGGTTACTGAAGCTGAGCTGGCATATACTGAGCAATTGTTTATATTTTATGGTAGAAAATGTGTCAAAGCCTTGGCTTTCAAACGGGTTTTAGGGGGGGAAAAAAAGAAAGAATCTTTTTTTTAAAAGGAGCTTTCATTTCAATTTGCAAACGGTTAGCACATGAAAAGCTCAGCGTGGTAGTGAAAACGGCTGAGAAATAGTGAAAGGCATGACAGCATGACCCAAACATCAACTGTTTAAAAAGTGAAGCACAGAAAGAAAAGAAATTTCACAAATCAAGTTAAAAATGAGTAGAAATGACAGYTTCAGAAAGGCTGCTGTTCCCTTCAGTCATGTGATGAGTTGTGATTCATGCCTCGGAAACTGGAAGAGGAAAAAACAGAAGTGTGTTTGCAAATAAATTTCCCTCTTTTTGACTGTTTTAAAAACACATCAGTCATAACACATGTTATTAGGTTGTTTATTGAAACTGAGCTARCATAACTTGCTTATAATTCTCTTTTTCATCTTTGACTGAAAGTGTTGGAATAGATTAACATCCCTATACACATCAAACAATACACATGAAAGTGTTCAAATATTTTTTATTCTGAGCTATAAATGCATATTTTATGGCAATATACAGTATTTTATTTTTACATGTGTACAAAAACCAAAGCTCCTGTCTTTTTCTTTTTTTWAAACCCAAGCCTGTTTTGTTATGTTGACGTTTCAAAGCTTCTGTTCTCAAGATAAGAGGCTAATACATTTATTTTTTTATCTTGAAGTTTGCTTTCTTGTAATGGCTATTAATTATTTTGAAATTACAATTCAAATTGAAAATGTCACACTGAGAAACAATTCAACAAAAGCCTTCATAACATGGTTCATTGTCATAGATCACCTATTCTGAGCAGGACCATCATTAATTGGATTGCTGATGTCTTAAAACACATTCAGTCTTAAACGTTTCATAGCATTTTCATGCAAATACTTGTCAATAAGCCTTTACACCATGTGCCAAACTGGAGGCTCCCAGGCCAAATGTAGTCCACCACAGCATTTTATGAGGCCCTGAAAGCTTCAAAAAATGTTTTAATGTATTAAAATAGGCATACAGTATGCTGCTTTAAAATCAGCAGGATTTTAGATWGTATTTAGGAAGAGGATGTCAACACTTTGAAGGGATCGCTGATTAGTTGTAACATTAGACTTTATTTGATAAACAGATAATTTAACTGTAAAATAAAGACTGTAAAAATACTGTAGGCTGTTAAGTTTTGTAAATTTTAAAATATATATTTTAACACAGACAAAGCCATTTTATTATTTACACACAAAGCATTCCGGATAAATGATGACGTGGATAGGTCCTCGATGCGAGGCTGCTAGCGAGCTATATCCACCTGAAGGTTAATCTTGGACAATATCTGATGATCGACTCTTTTAAATGAAACCAGAGAGCGTTGACAGAGAGGAGAAGGTAGAAACGACTCAGCTTGTAACTGAAAATATGGATGGAGGACCTCATTTTAGCTTGTTTGTCGCGCTAGCGCCAAGCTTATACATATAAGGCAGTATGTCATCCGCGCTAGCGCAAAAGCTAACAGGCTAAGCTGAGGTTCTTCTTCCGTGAAGCAGCTCTGTTGTCCTCCATCCATATTTTCAGTTGCAGACTGAGTCATTTCTACCTTCTCCTCTCTGTCAACGCTCTCTGGTTTCTTTTAAAAGTGTCGATCATCAGATATTGTCCAAGATTAACCTTCAGGGTGGATATAGCTCGCTAGCAGCCTCGCACCGAGGACCTATCCAC